GCCTGGCTTGACATCTTCTGGGAATTTTGGTGTGTACGAAGGAGTCCCAGAATACAACCAGACACAGGGGGAGGAAGAAGGCGTGGTGACCTCGGGTTGGTTTTTGGAAGATTGTGATAGATTTGACAATTCATTTCCATAATCCAGATCTTTATGCCCTGCAGTCGATCATGGCGCGTCTCATGGTGAAATTATCAGAGCTGTAGCTGCAGCACAGCTCTCGAAAATTAGGAGGAACCGTCGGCCGTCGGGATGCATTTTTCCAGATGATAATGGTTTCGTGAACCTTCTCAGAAGGCGGCGGGGCTGCTTAGAAGCCATCTGGCCTTCTGAGAAGGTTTTTGCGTCTTCGGGGAAGGCTCACAAACTTCTCAAAAGGCCGGGGGACTTCCGAGCCTTCTGAGAAGGCCCGTCCCCTCTCGCTTCCCCACCGGGCTCGCCGCCGAAAAGTACCGATACTGCTTATCCCCAGACCTCTCCTGGGGTGCGTTCTGACCAGAGTTCCGAGGAGAATCCAGCCGTGACGACGAGGGCTTTTCAGGACGAGCTTCTTCTCTTCCCCTGCAATGAAGGCCATAAACGAACTTTGAAACACCTCGACCCTCCATTGCGCCGTCAGGATAGGTCCATGTCCACTGCTGCGGGGTCCTCTTGGACTCGGAGAGCGTTGTGTGTGGATATCTACCCGCCCATGCAGGCGGCCACATATCCGTATCCACCACTCCTCGATACCCCAGGATGCGACTCCGAAGCGATGGAGATGGACATATCCTGGACGTAGGTGCCCCCTCGAGCCCGGATCGTCCACGACGGCGACGGAAAGCCCAGAGCGGCGCACTGGTCGAGGTCCGCGTCGATCAGCTCCTGGCACCCGAAGAAGGCCTGCCTGGGCGCCGCGCTGGCATCCGCCAGGCGGGCGCGCGGCCGCGCCAGCCTCCTCCCGAGGCACGCCTCCGCCCCGCTGCCACTCCTCCTCTTCCCCAGCCCTCCTCCATCCCTCCTCCTCCATCCTCCTCCTCCATCCTCCCTCCTCCTCCTCCTCCCCTTCCTCCTCCTCCTCATCCTCCACCTCCTCCTTCTCCCCCATTCCTCTTTCTGAAAGGATGACTCCTCCCTGTCGCACCCCGATGCTGGTCGAAAGGGCGGGCCGGGCGCTTCCGCCGGAGAGATCCTCACCACTTACGACCCTGAAACTCAAAAAATTGGCAACGGCTTCACAGATGGAGGCGGGTCGTTCTCGAAATGTCGCTCTCGCCGTAGCGCCGCGCACATTCGTGTTAACCATGTGCAAGCACGTCACGGACTGAGGGGAGGGCCGGTAGTTTTCAAAACGTGGCTCTCGCCCTAGCGCAGCGCACACTCGTGTTAAACATTCCAAGAAATTCACGATTTGAGGGCCGATGGTTTTCAAAATGTGGCTCTCGCCCTAGCGCCGCGCAGACGCGTGTTGAAACTTAGGAGAAGAATCACGGATTGAGGGCAGGTGGTTTTGAAAATGTGGCTCGCCTTAGCGCCGCGCACATTCATTCTAAAAGTTGCAAAAGCGTCACGAATTGAGGGCGGTTCCTTTTCAATGTGTGGTTCTCGCCTTAGCGCCGCGCCTATTCGTTTCAAAAAGTTGCAACAGTTTCACGGATTGCAAACGGATCCTTCTCAAAATGTGGCTCTCGCCTTAGCTCCGCGCACGCTGTCCTAAACATTTGCAGGAGCTTCACGGATTCCCATGGTCAACGTGCAGAGCGCAACGGTTACCTTGATTCGCGGTGTTGAGGCCCCAGGAACGGTGTTCTGGCACGATTCAGGATCGTCAAGACGCAACAGTCATGTTGATTCGTGGCGTTGGAGTCCCAAAAACTATGAATTCACACGCTTCATGGTCTTCAAACGGCTGTCTCCGAACGAGGCAGTTCCCTTCATGGAAATGAACCCTTGTGGGAGCCTGTGAACAGAGAGCTTGGAGGGAGGGTTTATTGCAACATGAGGTAGGGTTCATTCCAACATCCTTGATGAGCCTTGGGATTGTACTGGTCCTCCTCCTCCTCCTCATCTTCTTCTTCCTCCTCATGCTTCCTCATCCCTCCTCCTCCTCCTCCTCCTCATCATCAGCATCATCAGCAGCAGCATCATCTTCATCACCATAATCATCATCCTCATCATCATCCTCATCATCCTCCTCATCATCATTCCTCCTCCTGCTCCTCCTCCTCGTCCTCCTCCTCCTCCTCCTCCTCCTCCTCCTCCTCTCTCAGCATTTCTCCTCATCCTCCTGTTCCTCCATATCTGTCCTTGTAAACTACTCCTCCCTGTCGTACCGCGAGAGATGTCGGTAGAGCAGTCCGGGCAATTCCGCCTGAGACTTCCTCACCTTCACGATCCTGACGCTTAAAATGTGCAAGAATTACGCGATTGGAGGGCGGGTCATTTTCAAAATGTGGCTCTCACCTGAGCACCGCGCACATTCGTCTTAAAAGTTCGCACGAGTTCTACGGATGGAGGGCGAATCCTTTTCAGAATGAGGCTCTCGCCGTAGCGCCGCGCGCATTGGACTTAGGTTAGTATCAAGGATTATTTTGGATGACGCTCCAATCAACATGTGTTGGCACGATGTAAGACTGTCAGGGCGCAACGGTCACGTTGATTCGCGGTGTTGAAATCCCAGGAGCTGCGTTCTGGAACGATTCAGGATCACCAGGCCGAAACAGTCACACAGATTCGCGGCGTTGAGGTCCCAGGAACGGTGTTCTGGCATGGTTCACGAATTTCAAACCTTTGTATTCCAACGGAGCATGTCCCTCAGTGGAAATTCGCCGGCCCAACAGGCCAGAGGCGTGCTAAAGTCCCTGGTAAGAGTTTATGTAGTTCGCGCGCGCGTGGCGGAATACCCGGGCAAGGCCCCAGCAGGGTCTCGGCAAGGTCCCCGCAAGGACCCGGCAAGGTCGGGCCAGAGAGGCCGGAACTCCTGGGCGCGGCCTCGGGGGCCTCCCGAGCACCCCAATGAGGCACCAAAAGGGTGGCACGCCCCACGGCCTCAGGCCAAGAGCGTTCCAAGATGGCCCACGTTGGTCCCAAGACAGCCCACGAAGCGCCCAAGAAGCTACAGGAGGGTTCCCAGAGGACTTCGAGAGGCCCCGAACACGCAAAAAGCATTGATTTCGCCAGGATGTTCGAGCGATTCTGGCGGTACCGCCTTTTCGGGCTGCCGACCGCCCTGGACGGCCCAAGAGGCACCACGATCGCCCCAAGACGGCCCAAGAAGCCTCCAAGAGGGCCCTCAAATTGCCCAAGATGGCCCTAAGACGGCCCAAGAGGCCTCTAAGACGGCCCCAGGATAGCCCCAAGAAGGGGTCCAGAGGGGGAACCCGAACAGACAGTTCGAGCTCTCGGCCCCAAGAGGCGCCCAAGCAGCCCCCTGAGCACCCCAAAAGCTCCCCAAGAGGTCCCAAGAGGCCCCCAAGAGGCCCCAAAAAAGGCTCCCAAGACCCCCATCAGGCCCCCACGAAGCCCCAGGAGGCCCCAATAAGCCCCCAAGAGGCCCCCCAGAGGCCTCAAAACTGCTCCCCAGAGCCTCCCGAAAGCTCTCCGAAGAGACCCCAAGAAGCATCCACGAGGACTCTGATCCACAACCCAAGTCAAGTACGTCACGAAACTCTGCTGGAGCTCTCTTGAGCCATCTTGGAGCCCTCTGGAGCAGTCTATCGGCTCTCTTCGACAGGATGCGAGCCACATCTCCAAAGATCTCCTCGAGGACAGTCCTGCCTGGCCTACCGTTCCTCATGGGTACGAGCACACCATCATGCAGCCACCGTGGTGCGAAATGAGCCGGCGGAGTAAGCGAAGCGATACAATAATTCCTTGGAGAGACCTGCGAAGAGGCAACTTGGAAGGAGGGTTCATTGCAACATCATTGATTAAGTCTTGAATTTGCACTGGTCATCCTCCCTCCTCCTCCTCCTCCTCCTCCTCCTCCTCCTCCTCCTCCTCCTCCTCCTCCTCCTCCTGCTCCCCCATCTTCATCCTCATCCTCCTTCTCCTTCTCGTCCTCCTTCTCCTCCTTCTCATCCTTCTTCTCCTCCGTCTCCTCCATCTCCTTCTCCTTCTCCATGTCCTCATCTTCCTCCTCTTCATCCGCCTCCTCCTCCTCTTCTTCAGCCATCCTCCTCCTCCCCCTCGACCTCCTCCACCTCGTCCTCCTCCTCCTCATCATCATCATCATCCTCCTCCCCCTCCACCTTTTCTCTGCGAACCTCCTTCTCCCTCCCTTCCTCCCTCCTGCCATCCCCCTTCCCTTCTGAGCCTCCTCCCTCATCCTCAATGTTGTTCCTCCCTCTTCTATATCCTTCCCTCCCCCCTCCCTTCCCCATCTCGCCTCGTTGGCACTGGGTGCTATGCCACGAAGTTCAAGGGAGGCCGCTCCATCCGTTCCCTTGCCCACTGCGGGCGTGCGCGGGTTTCTCCTCTAAAAGCCCCTACATCCACTTCCTCGTCCCCGTCCTCGGCCTCGTCCTTGTCGTCGTCCTCGTAATCGTCCGCCTCCTCCTCCTCCTCCTCCTCCTCCTCCTCCTCCTCCTCCTCCTCCTCCTCCTCCTCCTCTTCCCCTTCCCCCTCCTCCTCTTCCTCCTCCTCCGCCACCACCACCACCACCACCACCTCTTCCTCCTGCAGCGGCAGGCAAATCTATCCACTCGCCACCCACTGAGCAACATGGCGAACCCATCTCCTCCTCCTCCTCCTCCTCCTCCTCCTCCTCCTCCTCCGCCTCCCCCTCCTCCTCCTCCTCCTCCTCCTCCTCCTCCTCGTCCTCCTCCTCCTTCGTCGTCTTCCCCCTCTTCCTCCTCCTCCCTTGTCGTCCTCCTCCCTCCTCCTCCCAATCCTTCCTGGGGGGCCAGCAGCACCGCGGGGCGAAGGGGGGGGGAAGGGCCTGAACTGCGTCAGCTTCACCGACGCAAGGGACAGCGGCGCCTGGAGGGCCGTCCGCGCGCACGCGCGCGCGCGCAAGCACCGCGGCGGCCACTCGGGCGCGCGCGTCCCCCCCGCGAGGGCGCGCGGCCGCCCGACCGCGGCGCCCACCTCTGCGGCAGCTCACAGGAGGAGGCAGCCTCCCGCGAGGCCGTCGCCGGAGCGATCGAGGGCGAGGAGGCCCGATGGAGAGGCCACCTCACCAGATCGGGCCGCATGGAGCCCGGAAGTCTCGGCGCCCCTCTGGCTGGGACCCCACGAAGAGGCACTTTGGCCGGCGGCCCGGCGAACCCAACCCTCCCCGACGTGGGCCACGCTGCCATGCCAGAACGAGGCCCGAAAGTGGCAGCTGTCGGCATTTGTTGTTCGCCCGCAGGCGTCTCAGAGGCTCGAGGCTCGTCGACTGCCGGCCCTGGGTTTCGACGGGAGGCCGCCCAGCGATCCGGCGAGGCGCTCACCACTTGCGCTGCCACGTGGCGCCGTTCTCGAACTTGACGCTTCCTCCCAGCACCGTGCCCTCGGGGAAGGGCGGCTCCATCAGCACCTTGGCGCCCCTGACCACGCCGCGCTTCTCGACAATTGCACCGCTCTTGGTCTTCAGCGCGAAGGTGATCGAGCAGTGGTCCTGCTTCACCTGGAACAGCTCGCCGTGCGCGTCCGAGAACCACTTGTCGCCACCGAGCTGGGCGCAGCCGAACTTGGCCACGTCCTCCTCGGTCTGCGAGGCGAGCGCGCGCTCACGGGCCCGCCTGCGGGCGCCCTTGGGGCGATCCTCCTCCGAGTCCAGGGCGCTAGCCTGCACGAAGGCGAGCGCCATCAGCATCACAGCCAGCACGCGCGCCATTGCCAGGCTGCGCGGGGTTCAAAGTGGGTCCTTAACGTAGCAGGTGGCGGAGTGGATGGCAAGCACTTGAGCCAAGTCCAAAGCACTCGTCAGTGAGTCACCCGTTACGATGCCGCTGAGATTGAGCCCGGGATTGAGAGCCGGAGTAAGCCAGATGAAACGGGATCGAGCTGGACTTCGTCAGACTGAGCTGGCTATCGACCTCGAAAAATACCAGCGCCGACACGAAGCAGAGTCGAACCTCCCAGGAGCTGCATCCTAGCTTTAAGTCGGGCGTGTCCCCTTACAGGGGGATTTTGGGCTAAAAACAAAAAATACTAAGAAAATGCCCCCCAATGGGCAAAAATAGTCAAAAACTCGTCCCCTGACTATTTTTGCACTATTCTTGACTATTCCTCCTGTAGAGGGACAGGCCGACTTGACCCTAGCTTTAAGTCGGGCCTGTCCCCCTACAGGGGCATTTTCGACGAAAAATAAAAAATACCCCAAAAATAATCCAAACATAATCCCAAAATAGTCTGGGGACTATTTTTGGACTATTTTTTATCTTTTTTGAGGCACTTTTGGGGTACTTGTTGTATTTGTCATGAACAATCCCCCTGCAGAAGGACAGGCCCGACTTATCCCCAGGGTCCATCTGGTGCAGTTTTCCTCCCCGGATCGGTGTCTGGACGGTCCCGGGACGCGTGGCCCCAGAAGGCCGAGCAAAAAGAAAAACTGCCGAACTCGGACCTCCGGACATCGCCCCCCCCCCCTCCCCCCTTCCTGCTGGCCGGAACCCGTGCTGGGCCACCTGCAGGGGGACAGGCCCGACTTGACCCTAGCACCTGGGAGCCGCCCATAGAGGCCTCCTAGATGGGGCCCGAGTAGGTGGGGTCGGAGGATGGCGCCGCATCGACGATACATCGACGATGCATCGGCGATGCATCGGCGATGCGTCGGCGATGCACCAGCGATGCCTCGTCGACGTCAGCGATGAATCGGCGACGTCGACGTGAAGCAAATCGGGCTCCACGTCCAGCCGCATCGGCGGTGCATCGGCGATGCGGCGCGTTACTTCGACCCCATCTACTCCGGTCCCAGCTAGAAGGCCTAGAGCCCATGCCCTCGCGCTGGGCCTGTGCGCGTCGGTCGACGCCGCCCGGGCGCCACTCGGCGCGAGCCCTGCGCCAGCCGACGCTCCACCGGGGCGGAGGTCGACACTGCGTCGGGTCGGCGCCCTCCCAGCGATTATCTAGAGGAAAAAGAACTATGCACATGCACCGATCCCAGGATTCCTCCCATTCTTCCCTACTTTCTGGGATTTCGTCTTCCCAACACTTCACATGTCTGTGTGCTTCTTCCCCTCCTGACTGACTCTCTCTCTCTCTCTCGGCGGCGGGCCAACTTTCGAGATCCTCTTGCCTGGCCTCGGCGGCGAGCGAGGGGGGGAAGTGAGAGGGAGAAGGCCCTCTCAGAAGGCGGCGGGGCCTCTCGAAAGGCCTCCGGCCTTCTGAAAGGTCTTCTGTGTCTTCTGGGACGGCTTAGGACACTTCTCAGAAGTAGAGGAAAAAGAACTGTGCACATACACCGATTCCGGCCAGGCCCATCCTGAGCCCAGGATCGGTGCATACGCCCTCCTACCTTGGCCAGGAGGGCATATGTACCGATCCTGGGTCAAGGATGGACGTTGTCATGGTAGGTGCACGTGCACAGTTCTCCTCGCCGCTGCGTCGGCGCCCGGAAGGACGAGATTGCGAGGGCGTGCAGGGCTTCCACGGTGTGCTGCCGAAGCCGCCCGGATGCCCAGGACCGAGGAGGGCGGCGGCTGCGGCGCCCACGGTCACGACTCCCCGGGCCACTCGGCCACGCGGAGCCCAGGCTGCTCTGCACGGGCCGAAGTGGATGCTGAAACCGCCGCGGCCGAAGGTGCGCGCGATGCGCCCAACCGCAAAGGTGGTCGAAAGCCGTTCCGCGGCCGCTGTTGGGCAGGCGACCTCTCGCCTCGGCTGAACAACGTGCGCGGCGACACCGACAGCAAGTCCTCTTCGGAATGGGCAGGAGCTGCTGTCGGGCTCCGTCACCAGTCTTTCGTACCCATTTCAGTCCGCCGCTGCGCGCCCCCTGAGCCGCCCATCCGAGGATGGACTGCCGTCCGACAAGACAACGATGCGCGAAACCGATATCCTCGCGCCGCTGCCAGGAGATCAAAGGGAATCTGGCCGTGGGAATCTGGCCGTGGCCGCGAGAAGCCTCCCGAAGGCAAAACAAAACAAAACAAAAAAAAACGTAAATCCTCGATCCTGGAAAACAGAAAAAGAACCCGAAGCAACTTGATTCTCCATACTGGATACACTTGAACCTCGAGCCTTGAGCCTGAATAACATTGAACACCTTGATCTTTGATCCCCCATCCTGGAGGACAGGGAAAGGAGCCGTCCTTGCTGAGGGAGAGAACATTCTTGTGGAGGGTGCGGAAGTTGCAATGCTCCGAATCCTGCCCGCACGGAATGGGGTGTGTTACTCCTGCTCATGTCCTCCTCCTCCTCCTCCTCCTCCTCCTCATCACCATCATCACCATCATCATCATCATCATCATCATCATCATCATCATCATCAGCAGCATCATCATCATCAGCAGCATCATCATCTCACCACCACCACCATCAGCATCATCATCATCAGATTCATCATCATCAGCAGCAGCATCATCATCAGCATCAGCATCATCAGCAGCATCATCATCGTCATCAGCATCCTCAGCGGTATCATCATCAGCAGCATCATCAGCATCATCATAAGCATCATCATCGTCGTCAGCATCCTGAGCATCATCGTCAGAAGCATCAACCTTCTCACCCGTCGCCTCCTCAACATCATCATCAGCATCAACATCAGCATCATCAGCATCAGCATCAGCAGCATCATCAGCATCGGAAGCATCATCAACATCATCAGCATCAGCATCATGATCAGCAGCAGCATCATCATCATCATCATGAGCATCAGCATCATCATCACCATCATCAGCATTACCATCATCATCTCGAATCAGCCGTCTTCCTACTCCACAACGTGCACCTTCTCCTTCTCGGTCCGCTCCTCTCCGTCATCCTGTTTCACAGGTGTGTCGTCCTGCCCTGGGTCCTGCTTATCGGCGGCTCTGTCGTCCTTCTCGTCCTCCTCCCTCCTCCTCCCCCTCTTTCTCTGCTTCTTCCTCCCCGCCTCGTATCATCCTCCTCCACGTTCTCCTCCTCCTACTCCTTATCCTCCTCATCCTCCTCCTTCTCCTCCTCCCCCTCCTCTGCCCACTCCTCCTCACCCTCCTCACACTCGTTCTGTACATGTGCGGTTGATGTTCCTCCTCCTCGTCCTCCCTCTTCTCATCCTCCTCCTCCTCGTCTTCCTCCTCGTCTTCTTCCTCCTCATCCTCCTCCTCATCCTCCTTCTCATCCTCCCCCTCGGCGTAGCATTATCAGCAGTAGTAGCGTTACGCGTCATAATTATTAGCATTGATATTCGTAGTCCGACCCGTACAAGCTACAGTATCATCTGGTTTCTGAAATTTCTTCTTCTTAATACTGGAAGGTGTTCATAGTGTTAGTCTTCCTTCGCTTCCTCCGCCTCCTCCTCGCGTTCCTCATCATCATCCTCTTCCTCCTCAGCATCATCATCAGCATCATCATCAGCAGCATCATTATCAAAAGCATCAGCAGCAGCATCGTCGTCATCAGCATCAGCATCAGCATCACCATCAGCATCCTCGTCACCCACCTCATCCTTCTCCTCCCCATCCTCCTCCTCATCATCATCCTGTTCCTCCTCCCCCTCCGCCTCCTCCTCCTCCTCCTCCTCCTCCTCCCCCTCCTCCTCCCCCCCTCCCCACCTCCATGTAGTTCCCACTCCCCCTCCACGTCAGCATCATATGGTCATCCTCCTCATCCAATTCATTATCTTCCTCCTCCGCATCCTCCTCCTCCTCCACCTTGTCCTCCACTGGCGAGTCCTCCTCGTGGTCGTCCTCGCCACCACCACCCATCAGCATCATCATCGTCGTCATCAGCATCATCATCATCGTCGTCGGCATCAGCATCATAATCATCAGCAGCAGCATCAGCATCAGCATCACCATCAGCATCATCAGCATCAGCATCAGCATCATCGTCATCGTCGTCGTCATCATCATCCGCAGCATCAGCATCATCAGCATCATCATCATCATCATCAGCATCATCATCATCACCATCATCAGCATCATCAGCATCATCATCAATATCATCATCATCATCATCATCATCATCATCAGCATCATCATCATCATCATCATCATCATCATCATCATCATCATCATCATCATCATCATCATCATCATGATCATCATCATCCTCATCAGCATCATCATCATCATCATATTCAGCATCGTCAGTACCATCATCAGCATCATCATCAGCAGCAGCAGTACCAGCATCATCAGCAGCATCGTCATCATAATCATCGTCGTCGTCAGCACCATCATCATCGTCATCATCAGCATCGTCATCATCAGCAGCAGCAGCAGCATCCTCATCAGAATCAGCACCATCAACCGCATCATCACCATCATCAACACAATCACCACCACCACCACCATAATTAACATCGTCATCATCATCATCAGCATCCTCGACATCTTCATCATCATCAGTATCATCATCAGCAGCATCAGCATCAGCATCGGCATCGTCATCGTCAGCATCATCGTCCTCGTCATCATCCGCATCACCATCATCAACATCATTAGCATCAGCTCATGAGCATCATCATCATCAGCAGCGGCAACAGCACCATCAGCATCGTCATCATCATCATTGTCAGTCGCACTAGCATCAATAACAACATGACCATCAGCAGCAGCATCATCGTCATCCTCGTCATAATCATCGTCGTCGTCAGCATCATAATCAGCGTCGTCATCATCATCAGCATCATCAGTAGCATCAGCATCAGCATCAGCATCATCATTACCAGCATCAGCAACATCATCATCATCATCATCATCATCATCAGCATCAGCATCAGCATCGTCGTCGCCAACATCATCAGCATCATCATCAGCAGCAGCATCAGCAGACTCAACATCGTCGACATCTTCAGCCGCATCATCAG